ATTAAGTCTGTGTTTTATCGATCATCTCAATAAGTAAGTCCATTTTATTCCAGTTTGAATTAATTATATTCCAGATAACTAACTTGATTATTTACTTCTGAGATTATTCGTCTTTGTGAGGTTCCCTCATCTATAACTTTTGATCGAGATATAAGATTTATGTCACGATTTCGAAAGATTTTTCTTGAGGCTTTGTATACGCTATTCAAACTTTAGTACATCTTACTATCTGCGGTCCGATGGTTTATTGGAGCAGATTATTCAGATTTTAAAAGATAAATTGAAAGGTTGCATTATAGAGTTTCGAGATAGTTGGGTGGATTGTTTACTGTTGGTTGAGTGTGCCTATAATTATATTCTCTGATAATATTTTATTCTCACTGGTAATCTTACATTCTATGAACCAAATGCACTATTTAGTTAAATAATTTCTATCTCTATTTATAGTAGGAGCAATAAGATAAGAAGTTGGGAGAACATCCCTTAGGCTAGCTAGTCGCACATCTTGAACTACTCTAACTAAGAACTCCCGCTAACCCACTCTCCTACTCGTGTAGGGTATGAAACCCGCTCGCCCAGCCCCTAAAGAGGAGAGAGGATATCCCAGCCAGAAAAAGCCGATTCATACTATTCCTCTGGCTGACTTAACTCATCAACTTTTAACTAAAGAACAACTCTAGCAACTGGTGCCCTCATGGTGGATATCTCAAATCCAAAGAGTAACTAAGAAACTATCTAGCTATAATAAGAGTTCGACCTTACCAAAGCCATAGCAAGACATCTAGCTTCACTTCAGGGAAATAAATCCTAAAGGTATGACTTCACTAAGCTTTCTATAACTCAAGAAAAAAAAAGATTATCTAGACAAAAACCTCCATAGATAGCTGCAATCCAAACCTCATCTCTCCCATGTTGGGAATTTTCTTCTGCTCGTGGATATCTAATGCTAGAATTTCGATCAAATAAGGAAGCTGCAGGCTTAGGTTCATCATTTTTGATGACTTTTTTGGGCTTAAATGACTTTTTCCTTCTACCGATCCCAGTTCGACTAACATGGGGGCAATGTATATTATTTTAAGTGGCACGAGCTTTTTCTTGTGATGATACTTTGGATCAAATCATTTAAACCGGGTCCAGGGATTTACCCTATGGCTGTTGCACTTTTTCTGACAACAACTAACTCATTGGCACGTTTAATGCCCTTGTGTCTGGTCTTTCAAAGCCTTGGGTTTGAGCAACGTTTGAACTCTGGGTTTTATAAAGGTGGGTGAACTCCATTCTTCCTTACCTCTCTTTGAAAATACTCTTAAATAAAGAGCGATTATGGCATCAACAACGAAATCGATTGCACTTGCCTTCTTTCAGCATTGAATAAGTAATTTCCATTCCCATCTCTCCTTTCTGCTGCTAAGCAGAATAGCTCTTCTTCTTCTAGGGTGACTGAAACTACCTTATGCTACCTCTTTTTCCCTCATTCTGGTATCTAGTGAAATAACAGCTGGATTCCTTAGTTCCAATGTTCTTTTTATTGCTAAACTCTACTTGAGGCTTTTCCTTTGAATCCCTTATATCATTCCCTCCTTACTAGACTATGTCTACAGAGAAAAGCCATCTCAATGCCATCATGAAGCCTAAGACATCTCATTGGAAGTGGAATGCCTCTAATGAGCTCTTTCCAATAGCAAGTCTCGGGTATTCTATCCTCCCATACGTTCTTTCGACAACACATTCAATGGCATAACATAAGTCTTCGCTACCTGACTTCTCAGTCATTCTCTAAGAAAACTAAAGAGTAATAACCATCGATTCTTCGTAATCCAAGACTAGCATCTCATATTCCTTATTAAACTTGGCTACACCATCAGTCATTTTCTTTGGAACTACCCATAACGTTCTATTGCTTGGTCCTTCGCAAGGTTTCAACCAAGCCGACATCTCTTAAAGAGCGGGCAAGGCCAGGAAAGAGGAAATTTGGATTAAGCCACAGAAGAGAAGACAAAGCTTAATGCCTTTGATTATGCTCAGGCTGAACACTAAGTCAATCTATAAATTCCCTCTCGTAACACTCGAGCTTTGCTTTGCCGCCCCAATAGATTCAATGGTCCTATGTACTCTTTCTGCTCGAAATATTCAAGCAAAGAAGTCCGCACTTTGAGATTGAGAGAAAACTAAATAGAAATAGTAGTTGCCCTTGCTGTTGATCTCGACCAATTCCCTGCTCGTCTTGCCTAGTCTCCGGGGGTAAGTTGTGTCTAGTCTCTGCCCCTAAGGGTAACATCATATTATTAGTACGAGTGCGTTGTGGGTTATCTGTATCTATCAAGCCCTCCTCTGAGTTAGTTGCCTACCTTAGGGTGTGAGTTGCAATTGGATTCTTTAAGGCAAAAGAGATATCTGAAGTTCTTGCAAGCAAGTAAAGCCTACGAGCCAGTGTCAGTCCTCCAGAGAGGCAATCAATAGCCCTAACAGGCATTTCAGTTAACTGATAGGGGTGCAAGCCACTTTAGACCGTTTGCATGATTTTATTGTTGTCACAATTCAAGCCAAGTGTGAAAGAATACCTTGTTACTATGCTTGAAGAAGCCTGTCAATCTAGATGCCAACAATTAATCCACAAAATTGGACAATGACATTCTTCCGATACTTTTTTTGACTCGTGCGGCACGGGTGTTCTATGAGACTATGAGGCGGGGCAATCGAGCTGGGCCAAACGTCAAGTCTCATCGGGGACCGGTCTCGCCCGATCTCATCCACTTGAAAATGAAAAAGAATAAATAAGGCATTGCATCAAGCAACTCTAGGTTGTATAGCCTTGTGATGTAAGGCTGTGTAAATAACTGGTCTTACCATCAGGCTCAAAGGATCTTATTCCCCGTTATCAAATTGGCTCGTGCTGGAAATAGGTTCCTCCCTTTCATTTCCTTCCAAGTTCACTTTAAACTTGGGGTGGATTAACCCATAATCAAGCATGGGGTCACGAGGATCTAATCCTCAAACAGGGCAATGATAGACATGCATCGCTAATCTCTTCCTAACCCTAGTATAGTACCGAAAGAATCGAACGAAATGACACTGGACATCTGTGATCCCTGGAGACGAACGCTTTAGCTATGGTAACACTCTCAGACTCTTTGCCTAGGCGGCGAAGACTTTCATCCTGTTATACTTTAGACCACTTACCGAATATTATGAGGGCAGACTAAGTATCCATTTAATGCATGCTCCTCTGCTATCCTGAAATTCTTTTGTTTTCATCTCAAACCAAACCACCATAAGCTTTCCGATCGGTAATGCTCGAGACTTTAAGACAAGACCTCGTACGATGATTGTTGAGATACAATATAACCCCAAACTCTATTCTTTCTCACGAGCTTTCCTCTGAGACTTTCAGGCCTCTAGCTTTCGCTTGACTACTTCATATCCTCAAACATCCTACGGCCTTGTAGCTACCCTTGAAACTGAGCACTCCCCTTATCAAGTAGAGCTTGAGCATCCGACTAAACCCATTGATAACAACACCACGTGAACCTCAAACTAAATGGAGTTATTTATCTTTTCTTTCACTTTAGCTCAGACTTCACACCAATAAAATAAGAGTGATTGCCTCAAATTGATTGATTGAATTTTTTCCCTGGCTTTATCATAGCAAATCGTTTAGATTCTGAGGAAAACTTTCCCTCTTGATCTGATCTGGGCCTCTGGAAAAGTGAACATTTAGATCCTCAACTGGCATAAAGGTGCTAAAATGCTGTAGTATAACAATTATTCCTCTTATGCTTTTAGGTGCGCTGACGGGTTGCATAAAGAAAGGAAGGAAATAGACTTAAGTATTCTAGTTATTTGCCCCGCGAATGTGTCTCAGGAATCTTGTAGTGAGGGTAGAGTAAACAAAATACTACATGTTAATGTGATGGATCCCACGTAGGCTAAAGTCCCGCTACGGGATCGTGTAGTTCGCGTGGAGAATAACATATTGAGTAAGAATGTTATCTGCCCCGCTATTTTTTCAAAATTTCTTTCTTTACCGTTCTTTTACCATGTCTCCCGAACAATTTCAGTTCATATGGCGCAAGACGATTCCACATATTCAGGTCGGAATGGGATCGGGTGTTTTCACGTCTTATCGTAGTGCCCGGTTTGTCTTTATTTCCAATTGATGAACAATAATGAAAATGGAACTCTTTTCTTTTTGACTCGCCCCCGGCTACATGTCCTTTGGACTGTTATCCCGCTCCACAACTCACTCCATTTTGTTTATATTTTTCTTTAATTTTCTTTGGTCAGAGTAAATGAGAGATACTGAACTATGTTAAAATATATATTTTGATCCTTATACTTTTGAAAGTTATAAAATAGTTATTAAATTTATTAAATATAAAATAACTATTAGATTTTATTGAAATATTATAAAATGATCATTGAAATTATAATTAATTATAGTATTGCAGTGAACATTTTATAATGATTTGATAAATTTCATGATCATTATATAACTTTATAAAAGTTTAGTGATCAAAATGGTTATTTGAATGTAGATCAACGACCTTCCATGTACTTTACCCATTTCTTTTGTAAGTCTCTATTTGGGCTCTTTTCCTGTGGCTGTCTCCGCCATCAGAATATATTAAGCCGGCTAGCTAGCTAGACTCAGGGGCGGATGTTTACTTCAGAATACTTAAGCGATGAATGAATGATTCAAAGGCTCAGTATGAATAATTTAGAGGTTCTGTATAAATAAACTCTGAATGTAACATGCTGTTTGATAATAGCTCTGAATTATTCAGAATGTACTTCTGTGCTGAATCATTCAACACTGTTTTGCTGAATCAGTCAGCACTGAATCATTCAGAGGTGAGAAACAAACACGCTGAATGTTGAACGGTTCAACATTCAACGCTGAATGATTTCATTCAGAACCAAACAAACAACCCCTCAGTCCAGTTACCCATCATCATCTCGTATTTATTTTGGTTATTTATTTCAAGCATCACTTCCCGTTTGCATTACATTTATATACATATATGGACCAGAATCATTCTCTCTCTATAATTGATTGTGATAATTCTTATCTCCTTTATGATAAAAGCTAGGGAACCCATTTTACTATCTTTCTTTACCACTGATGTTTATATGAGTACATACTTGTTCGAAACATGAATTTTGTTGCACGTCGAAACCAAACGCAGCAACGTCTAGTTCCAGAACAAGAATAGTTTCTTTAAAATGAGTCAGTGCGTTCCCAGTTGGGATCTGGAAGATAATCATGCCGCAACGCACCACTCGCTCCGCTCTAACTCCAACCTCTCTGCTCCCGAGGGTCACATGTAAGCGTCGCGATGATCTCAACTAAAGATTTGATGTTAAATTGTTCGGTTTATTAATGTTTGTGATTTACTTGGCAGGTCGGAGTATGAAGTGGCAGAATTGACATGGGAAAATGGCCAACTAGCCATGCGTAGTTTGGGTCCGACACGTGTACCGGCTAAGCCATTGATTTCCAACTCTCCTTCTAAGTACACTCCTTGGGATAAACCACGGGCTAATGGCACCTTGGAGTCCATAGTGAGCCAGGCCACTCGCGTGCCGTATCTTAAGGTTTCTCTTAACGGCGGTGGGAATGAAATTGTATCCTGTTTGGACAACCACCGTTCTGCGGCGGATGCTTTGGTCCCTTGCTCGAAAAGGTCGACGGAGGACCGGAACTCACAAGTCATGGAATCCATATCAGGACTCGTAGGATCTCGCTTGGTGGGATCCTGTAGAGTGCCGGCTGACACTCGACATGAACAAGTAATTGTTACCGGGAAACGGACACGGGAGGCGACGGATGTTCCCGTAACACCTGAGTGGAGCGGCAAGGAACAAAGTGCAAGCGCCAGTGCCACGTTCGGGCGAGATAGCCAATACGTTACTTTCGATACGTATGACAAAGATTTGGGCGTGGGTTTTACTTCTACTTCCCTCGGTTCCTGGGAAAACACGGGCTCGACGAGGCACTGTACCAAGGCCACCACGACGGTCGATGATCATGACTCTGTTTGTCACAGTAGAGCCCAAGTAAAGTTCTTCCATTTAACCGTTATTTCATGCTGGAACTACAAATATATATTTGTTTGTGATTTTTCTTTCGGTTAATATTGTTAAAGAGGGAGGAAATTGAAGAAGACAAGAAGGAAACTGGGAAATCTTCAGCTTCAAATAAAAGGAGCAGAGCTGCTGCTACCCATAGCCAGTCCGAACGTGTATGCTCTCTCCACCTTGAAGATTATAATTAAGTTTATAAGTACGTATTTAATTATTTGTGTGATTTTCCAGAAAAGAAGGGATAAGATCAACCAAAGGATGAAGACGTTACAGAAGCTGGTTCCAAATTCCAGCAAGGTACGAAACGTTTCTATCTCAGCTCCGTCAGTTGTTGTAACGTACGGAGGTAGTATTAATGGCTAAAAATCACTGCAAATTTCAGCAATGGTCAAAACAAGAAACAGTAAACAGTAGCTGTATCAATAATTCTTATGTGTCGTTTCCTCTCCGCAAATTTCCATATCGGAACTGATATCAACTTTACATACTTCTTAGTACTTACTACGGATTTATGTTATTATAGTTTTTATATTATTTTTATACCTAAAAAACAATTTTTTTTATAAAAAGGAAATCCAACTATTATAACTTTGTAAAAAGTTGAAGAGAAAAGGAGATTGAGGCTTATCTATATGGATTGCTAACAAACTTTAAAGGCGTAAAGGACCCACGTAAGAGTATACTACAGTGATAGAAAAACAAGAACAAAAAAACTGACGAATAAATTGCAGCAGTCTAGAGTCTTTCACTGTCAACTTAATGATTTTGTGGCGAAGGTTTCTCCATTTTTGGTCTTGGATGCCCTGTCCACTACTAGCTTTTTGGTGGGATTTCCATCGTTTTTTCGTTGAAAAAATCTAAAAGGTGCTTTTTTACTTTCTATCTGTTGCAATTTGAGAGTTACTTCTACCAAAAAAAAAATATTACCTTCTAATCATTTTAAACTAATAAATACGTATATAAACATAAGATTCTCTTTCATGCATCGTCGTTATTCTTAACTAGCTTTTTAGTATAGACTGTCTATTTTATTCTTAGTAAAAGAATAGCTGGCATGGCATATATGAGATTAGGCGTAAAGTTATGAAGATTCCTTCGATTTTGATCCTCGTCTTGGATGCTTGATATGCTCGGTATACACATTTTTAGTGAAGTGAATTGCGGTTGCGGCTACCATCGCGGTTGCGGATGTCACAACGTGATTTTTTCTTAAAACTAATTACGTTTATGTTGCGGTTGTGGTGTTGTGATAAATTTAAAAAACGTTACGATGAAGTCATTACACTGTGTTGCTATCGTAATTTAATACTATTAGGAGCCTTGGCGAGTTGGTCATGCATGCAATTCTAATATAGTGGGACATAAATTGAAGTCTAGTACTTGGTCGTGCAGACAGTTAATTTGATTTTTGTTCCATTACAGACGGACAAAGCTTCAATGTTAGACGAAGTGATTGACTACCTGAAACAACTGCAAGCACAAGTTCAAATGATGAACAGAATGAACATACCGCCAATGCTGTTGCCGATGGCAATGCAACAGCAACTCCAAATGTCGATGATGGCACCGGCGATGGGGATGGGGATGGGCATGGGCATGGGCATGGGCATGGGCATGGGTGTGATGGATATGAACACTATGGGGCGTCCCAACATCGCCGGCATCTCGCCCGTTATGCCTAATCCTTTCATGAACATGACTTCCTGGGACGGCTCAGGCGAACGGCTACAACGAGCGGCCTCTGCTGCAGTTGCAAAGTCGGACCCTCTTTCTGCATTCATGGCGTGCCAATCACAGGTACTATTGATGCGTCTTAAGGATAACATAACATACATATGATGCAGTCTATATTTAAATTATGAATATATCGTCTGTTTGATGCAGCAGCCGATGACCATGGATGCTTACAGCCGGCTGGCTGCTATGTATCAGCAAATGCAACAACCACCTGCTTCTGGTTCTAAGAGCTAAGCTTCAAGCCATTACTTTCAGCTACGTTTTTATATATCAAAACAAAACCTGGGTTTCAATTCTTACACTTGCACAGGGTTTTTGGATTGTAGTTCGGTTGCTTCAATTGTTCTCTTTGAATCTGTAATATCAATATCAGTACTCCTATGAGCCGAAAAAACTTGATCATTTGGTATTAAAAAAAAGAACCCTAAACTTGATCATTGGGTACTCTACCTGTACTGTAATTGAATGGTGGGTAATCAATCGACATCTGTATTTTTTGTCAAGATTCCCATGTCTTAGAGGAGGCATCTTAACGTGTGGTGTTCACAAAAAGATGAACATTTAAATGATTGGATACTCATTTGTCAAGTTGTATTTAGGAGTCACCACTCGTTTTTTCCCCAAGGGATCCCACGTACAAATATCTCCATTTACCATTTCTTCATCCACTCTGTCCTGTTGGATAATCTGAACCATATATATGATCTTAAGGTAAGTCGTCTTTATGAAGATTTTCTTTAACAGTTATCAAGGATGATTAATGATGGGACCGATTTTGATTAGTCGATTTTGTTCATCATTCGCACAAAAATTTAGAAAACTTTGGGCTACTTTTCAACCAAGGGACCCATAAGATTTTATATTTAGCTGCTGTAAACAACACTGACGTGAATGTGATAGGCAGCTTTATCATGTTATAAGAGTGTATGATTGGAGCCTCGAACGCTTGGACGATGAGATCACCACATGCTTCCTTTTCTTCTAATTTCTCTTTTTCCAAAAATCTATACCCTCTTTCCCACCTAAATTTCTCAGCATAAATGGACTATAGTCTATTTAATTAACGTATTCGAATAAATCACCCGTCGGTTAAGTTAATTTTATTGGTCTAATTCCGATCGATTATGAGTTATTGAAATTTTATTGGGCTACTGTTGGGTCAAATGATTTCAGCCCTGCTAGCAGTGAATTATATCGTTATCAGTCGTTTCACTCATTTTTTTCTAAAATAACTTTTCTCGTGAAATCACTCAAAATCGATGAAATTAAATAAAATGAAAAGTATATTTCAAGAACATAAACACATACCTCAAAATTAACCATATCGAACGACCATCAAATGAGATCAAAATATTAACACATCAACCTTTAAACACATTTTGTCGAATGTGAGTGGATTTTATGAAAATCAATCCAATGAAAAGAAAAAGAAGTGAAATATGAATATTTTGATACCAATTTTACCTCGACTAATGAATGGTGACGGGGACAATTGATTGCGAGCTATGACCCAAAAAGATTAGTGCCAACAAGTAATATATTTAATACTTTAAAAGCAAAATTGAAACACCCCTAAAATTTAGTGCTTAAAATGACTCACTTTCGATATCAATAGTTGTGCCAAAACAACATTATTTTGTCCATGTCATCATAATTATGGAAAGGTTTGTCCAAATCATCATGTTGTTAAAGTTTAACGACTTAATGATATAATTAAATTCAAATTTAAAATTTAATGTTGTAATTGAAGTAACTGAATGTTGAGTGATATAAAGGATACACTCACTAAAGCTAAGTGATTTTTAGTATAATATTTACCGTAAAACTTATTTTCAATTTATCGGATATTTAGGGAATGTTGATTAGTAAAGAACCAAGGAAAGAACTAATAGTTGTTAGAAGATAATGAAATAAATGTGGGTAATAATTTTTTTTATCAACAATTGATTTAAAATTTAATTTTTATATATAATTAATTAGGGTAAAATGCACCATACATTTCTAAACTTTAGATAGTGTATCATTATATCAATGAATTTTTAATTGCTACAATTATAGTATTAAACTTTGTTTTAACTTTAATTATACTACTAAGCCGTTAAATTTCAAACAAAATGATGACATGAACAAAACAAAATCATTTAGGGGTCTATAGCCATTAAACTTTTACACAATTCACTTTTTATTACACTTTTTTTGTTGCAGTGGACAGTAAATCACCTCTTAGCATTGGTTGCTTTTAGTGATAAAATCAATATCGAAATGTTCGTATTTTACTTCTCTTTTTTTCCTAGGATTTTTTTTCTATAAAATCCATCCAAACTTGATGAAATTAAACCAAAAATTCATAATTTTAAGTGGTTTGGGGGGTTTATAAGATTTGAGGGTTTCAAGGTGTTTCTTCAATTATTAGAAAGGCGAGTTTCGAGAAGATGAACAACATACCTTGAAACTAGCATCATCAGACGGTCATCGAATGAGATCATAGTATCAGCACATTGAATCTTTAGATGAATTTTTGTAGATTTTGATTGAGTTTCGCGGAAAACCAATTCGATGAGAAAAAAATGCATGGAATGTGAACATTTTAATATCAATTTTGCTGTGAATGGCGATCAGTGAAGGACAAAGATTGGTTGCCAGCAGTTGCTGAAGTTTAGTGCCAAAAAGTGAATTGTTTAAAAGTTTAGTGGCAAAATTGATACACTCATAAAGTTCAATGCTTAAAATGGCATCATTTTAAGCATCAATAGTCATATCAAAACGACGTCATTTTGTTCACATCATCACAGTGACAGAAAAATTGATACACTCAAAAATTTATTCATGTCGTTGCATCGTTAAAAGTTAACAACTTATTGGTATAATTAAATCAAACCCAAAGCCTAATGCTATAATTGGAGCAATTGAAGGTTTAAATATATAACGATACACACTTAAAAATTCAATAATATATGTGTAATTTAAAACGAGTTTAATATTTTTATCTTAATCCATTCTTTAAGCCTAGTATTTTTACCCAAGTCTCTGACCCTCTCATCCTGCCACTTGTCACCCCAGCACCTCAAACCCAAACTCTCCAATCCATTTAGCTCTCTCCTCTCTCTAGTCCATATATATTTTTCCTCCACAAAATCAAACCAATCCATTACTATTACTAAAAACTAGGACTATGTCTTGTCCCCTTAATTGTCACCATACAACCTTTCACTGTACAAGAACAAACAGCTTCACCCTTCTTTTCCCATTCTTCTTTCACTTCATTGAAATTCAATTCCCAGATTTTCTTTTCTAATATGGCTTTTATAGTGGATCAACAATCTGAGTTCAAATACTTCTGCAAAATTTGCAACAATCGATTGGGTGTGGGAGAGCCCTTGGTGGGCACATGAGGACGCATGGAATACGCAACGAGAGCCAGTACATTGACGACGACGACACCGTGAACGATTGGGAAGACAATTTAGGAGGGAACATTGTGCCACCGGACAACACGCCCATCTACGGATTAAGAACATACCCTAATCGATTAAAGAGCTGTAGGGTTTGTGAGAATTGTGGCAAGGAGTTCTTTTCATGGAATTCTTTTCTTGAGCATGGTAAATGTAGCTCTAGGGATGCTGAATCGCTTGGTTCCTCACGAGGGTCAGACGGTTACGACAATGGCGTGACAAGGAGAGGCTCGGTTTACTTGTCTAAGAGGAAAAGATTGTTAATCTCCGATTTTGCATCGAACGAAGAGTTAGAAGTTGCCAATTGCTTGATGATGCTATCTAATGCAACCGTTGTTGTTCCTTTTGTTACCGAGCCTGAGGAGTCTTGTACTTCGGCTAGCAAAGAGGAAGAGAGGAGAAACACAATGAGTTTCATTACTCCCATTGCATGTAGGCCAAGGGTACCTATGGAAAGGGAAATGGTGTAGCCAAAAGGTTGTTTGAGTGCAAAACATGCAAGAAAGTGTTCAATTCCCATCAAGCATTGGGTGGACATAGAGCTAGTCACAAGAAAGTTAAGGGATGTTCCGCAGCTCCGCTCGATGATCATATCGTAAAGACGATAGTATAGCCAATGATGATCATGACGCGTTTCCCCCCATCAAATCTACACCAACATTTCGAGTCGGTACATTAGCCTCTACATCCAAAAAGAAATCAAAAGTACACGAATGTTCAATATGCTGCCGGATATTTTCGTCGGGACAAGCACTAGGAGGGCATAAAAGATGTCACTGGATCACATCGAATCCACCCGCTGATCACACTTCCTCTTTCTTTAAGCTACATCGGTTTCAAGATAACGTAAACCAGATTCAGCAAACCCAAAAATCTAGGTTTGTTGGTGATTTTGAGCCGCTTGATCTCAATCTTCCTGCTTCAACTAACGAGCTCATAGGACCGAACCACATTGATCGATCGAGTTTTGATGTTTCACCGAGAGTCTATTTGCAACCCTGGATTGCCAAAGAAAAGGAAGATAATCAACAGCAATTGCAAGTTGACAACAACGATACGATCAAGAACAATATTTGCCATAGTTCTAAGCAAGATGAGGAAGCCAAAACTGGCAGTACGATGATGTTAGCAAAACTAAGTGAACTAAAGGACGTCAATATGAGTGGAAGTTCATTTCCATGGTTGCAAGTTGGGATCGTTTCAAGTTCAACTACTAATGTTGGTTCTGACCCTTAATTTTTTTATTCAATCACACAGATTGTACTTGAAGCAAGAGGGGGCCTTGGTCTCCATGAACTGATTACGAACCCTCGGTGTATAAACAATAATGTTTATATGTATTCATATGATAACTAAGATTAAATTGGATCATTATAAAAGATTTGTTTATTTGGTTCGATTTTGTTAACGTAATTTTTTTGTGTATTTCATGTTCAAATTTTAGATTCTAGTTCTGGTTTATGATTATCCTTCTCAACAATGATACTAGCATAAGTTCTCTTACCTTGATCACTTGTGTCGTGTGAGACTATATCAAACTAGTTTGCATTCTCGCATCATGCACGGATTTATACGTAATTATGTATACATTAATACTATTTATTAAATAATTTTAATATTCATGATTAAATTATAACTATTTTTTTAACAAATAAAAATATTAGAAAATTAAATTATAACTTATTAAATAACATGATTTATATATATAAATTTTATACAGATTAAAACGGCCTTGCTGATTTACATGGAAAATGTGTGGTATAGTAGTTTCTTGTTGATTATAGAATCGAATTCCCAAACGGTAAATTGGATTGATAATATCGATTTGAGGTTGTGGAGATGGTGAGAAACTTTTGAGGAGATTTACATGTTGTGGAATTCGGGTTAATTTCCACCAATTATAACAAATTCACATTGAAAACTATTATCTAAGTAATTAGTGTGAAAACGATTGTACTAAAATCACCCCAATATAGTTTCCAGGAAAGAGGAGGGGTCACAAT